CCTTTGGAAAACCTTACTGCCTTGTGAGAGGGGTGAAGTGGAAAAAAGACGCGATTGAGAGCATTCGCTGCTCTCCTTGCTGTTTTATAAGTGTGTTGACCATCTCCCAACAACAATGATGTAGGAGGTGGAAGTGATGCCCTTTTTCGTCCGGAAACGTATTTCCATGCAAGTGGTTCGCCTGGATTTAACTTGCTGATGCGACGTAGATACGTGTTGCGCAGGCGCTCTCGGAGTAGGAGGAAGAATTGACTCCTTGTCCGTTGCATTTCTGCCTCACGGTCGGGCGTCGGTAACTGTAGATAGCTGGCCTTGCTGTCGGTAGCAATCCGCTCTGCCTCCATGAGAGTGTCGTCCCAAAGCCTGGGACCATCCTTGTGCATGCCGCGGGGACAATGTCGTCGATACGAAGTAATAAGCGCTCTCGTGAAAGCTTTAATGCCGGTGGACTGCTTTTTATAGTCATATGCCGGAAGTTGTGCGTCGAAGTCCTTGACAAATAAATCCCATTTGCACTTCCCCCAACTGTAGAATGTCTTAGGTGGCGAAGGTATGGTATCCTTAAATGTCTGATGCAGCGTGAATGTGAGCATATAATGATCACTAAGCGGCGACACAGAAGCTGTCCAATCTGACACAGTCAAATGCTTTTACCATGTCGGATCGATGCAGAATCTTTCTCTTGTACCACGAGCATACGTGATCTCACCAGGGGTGTTAACCAAGGTGAGTCCCGCATCCGTGCACAGTTCTAAAAACTCTGCAGCAACCTCGCTTGGAGAAGACTCCAAGAATGGCTCCCACTGTGGGTGATGCATGTTGAAATCCCCGCACAGCAGGAGCGGCGACGAGGCTGGAAGGCAGTTTACTAACCGCCTGAAGGATTGCGTTACTTGCGGTGGTGGTCTCATATAGGCACTCGCTACAATAAGATCACGGTTCTGGTCCAGAGCAACCTGGACCACCACCACTTCAAGGCTGGTGTCATGCTGGGGGATGGTGAGGGGTATACGCTTGGAACGGAGAGTTTTCCCCACCAGCACCGCCACACCGCCTCCCTTGCCGATGCGCGACTGTGCATAGAGCACATAATCTCCAGTATGCATACTGGCGATCTGCTCTGACGACTTCCAGGTCTCCTGGATGGCTATTATGTCTGCTCCTTGCGCCATTAATGTTGCGAGTTTTGACGGCGTGAGGCAAGAAACGTTCATCTGGAGTGCTGCTATGGGGCCTGGGTTCTGCTCAACGTCTCCGCTTAGCAGTAGCTTTTGTCGTTGCGCGTCACATACGGCACGCAAACAGTATGTATAGCGCTGATAAGCGCCGGTGGGATTCAGCAGCGGATGGAAATACCGCTCCGCGGGCAGCCATGTACATGGCTCCATCTGGTGCCCTTCCGACCCGTTTGAGCGGCGCCTCCTACCTCTCCGCGTGCAGCGGATGAGCGGCAGGCGCTTAGCTTCCTCTCAAGCAAAGAGTGCTAGACCCTGGCACCGCGTTGAGGTGGCCGGCGGTGCCGGGAGGTCAGCACTGTGATGTAATTCTTCAAATATCGAACTGTATTCTGGGGAAGGTCGAACGGGTCGACGTGCTTCGCCAACTGCGAGATCACGTGTGGGTCCAAAGTGTGCGTCTCCACGATTTGAGCAGCGTGCCGCGGCGCACCCTTTTTGTGGAATGCGCCGTGGCATTCCAATGAACCAGAGCTCGTTCGACTTTGGCGGTCGCAAGATTCGTGAGCTTTTCGTTTTCTTGAGGTGTCCTGCATAGCTTTATAGTGTCTAACGCGTCCTGCCCTCGTATCCTCACGAACCGCGGGGCGCAGTGGGGATCCGCTTTCGCCGTCTTTGACGCCACGGACCGATACAAAGTTAGGGTCCCGTCCGCCTCCAGTGTAAAATTTTTGAGGGTTAAGGCCGCAATCTCGGACCAACGACTCGCCGTTATCCACGCAAGTCGTAAGACAACACGTTCCTTCCAATCGGTCCGGCCGCCCAGTTTCATCAAAGGCGGCGGGCCGCGCCTGGGCGTTGCCCTGCCGGCGTGCCGGGACCGCTGCGCAGACACGATGGGGCTCCATTCCGCCGCCGTGCTGGGGGTCATCGCCGTATCTTTCACGAGCTTACAGGAATCGAAAGCGGCTGTGAAAATAAAAATAAAAATAAAAATAAGTACGAATCGTCTAGGAGTTATTGGTTCCCTGATTACTAGAATGGCGGCCGGCCAAGATTCATAAAATAGGGAAGAAGCCACGCAGCGTTCGCTTTATTAGGGTGTATGCGTTAAATCCGATAGCCGGCTTGTCGCGTAGGGGTTCTCTTCCCAGATTGCGGCGGTAAAAGCAGGCGCGCATCGTGGCCGCCGCGTGGGGCGAGGCCGGGCGGCTGTCGAAATACACCGGCCAGTTTCTTTTCAGCGGGGGGTTTGCAACTCTGTGGTCGCCGCTCGTCTTCTTTCCCTTTCGGGTCGCGAAGCAGGGCGGCCAGGGCGTAAAAGGGCGAAAAAGGGCGGCGGTTGCTGGGCCGGGGGACGCTCCGCTGGTTCGCGGCCGGTGCGCGCCGCTACCCGCCAAAAACCGGGTTGTCCTTCAATTTTGTTGGTGGGAATCGTCGGTTGCTGGTTGCCTGGGGTTGCCGCCCTTGTTTTTGCACGTGTTTTTTTGCTGGTTCTCTGGTGGGGGTGTTGTGGGGGAGGCTTTTCCACCGCATAGCGAGGGTTTTCTGGTGCGCGGGGAGCGTTCGCACCGCGACCATCGTTATCTTCTGTGTCCTGCCGTTTCTGCGTTGAATGGTCCAGGGTCGGTGTATGTTTTTTCGTGCGAAATTTCTGGTTCTATTGGATTTTTTGCCTATCTTTGAATGTGTTTCCTTGAGGGCGCGCTGGGAGATAATTGGGATCTTAATATCTATTACGCCGAATTGGCTGAGAAATGACTGATCAGAAAAGCCCATTTCCGGACAGGTGAGGTTACGTCGATGAAGAAGAATGCTGTTCTAGTTTTTGCTCAATAGTAAAGCAATAGCGGATTTAAGGATTGTGGTAGGTCTTCTCTGAAAACCTTATCGAGGTGGCATTCCTGTAAGACTCACACAACATTTCTTTACTTGAAATTCGAAGTGCCTTTTGTTCTACAGGATACGGTAAATAAATGTGCGATGACATTTTGTTTCTCATGCCTTTTGTTTTTTTGGTGGCTTGCGCACGGCCATCTTTGCGGACACGTTTGTCTATACAAGGCAGAATTTTGAACTGTTGGCATGGCATTAGCTCGTTGCTGATCTATCGTTTTTTTTTTTTTTTTTTTGCATCCAGCTGTTATATATGCGGGCTGTCGTTTTCTTTTTATTAGGAGCTTGTGAAATGAATGATCGCGGGAGAGCTGGCTAACTTAATGAATGTATGTATATCCTGATAAATGAAGGCATTCTTTATGATACTCTCTACCGTATGAATCTTTTGGGAAGAACGCGACTTTGTAGGGGCAGGGAGCCGATAGAGGCCAGATAATATTTGTTTTTATTTTGTCACCCACCCACCCCCTTTTGATTCCCACCACGCGGCGGGGTGTTGTGGTTGGAGGACCCCAAAGTCTGCCACTTCGTAAGTAATTATATTTAAATCCTAACTGAAGACAAGGGACCATGCTAGTGATCCACAGAATTCTATATATATTGAATAAAAAGAAAAAATTGAAGCAATTAACTAACGAACCTTTTTTCCTAACTTGTTTGGTTTCCATAGGTTTTCAGGAACCGGCCAGCTGCCCGGAAGATTATTCTTTTAAAAGGGCGGGGAGGGCATACCAAAGTCGAGAAAAAAATATGTGAAAATTCAATTTTTCTGGAAATAACTTTCAATTTTACGGTGTTGGGCGAGGGTGTAAATAGATTTAATAATTGGGAATGGAAGGGTTCAAAAGAGGAGGATGCTTTTGGGAAACCGATGCGTGCCGTGTCCTTTGAAACGAGCTTGATGCTTGTTAGAGTTAAAATACTCAAGAGAAAACAGCTTGGTGGGGAAATGCTAGCTTAATCACTACCTTTTGTGCCTTTATACCATTACAGTTGTTTTAAACTATTGGCGAAAGATTACTTGTCGGCTTAAACTAGATTGGAGGGTAGCAAAGAGAACTCTTGTAATAAAAAAAGGCAAAAGAAAAACGAAAACAGCCCCGAAAGCTTGTTGTCCAGACTACTGGTTTAACAAACTGGCTTTTGCTTCTGTATTATCGGGCTATTTCTTTGCGGATGAACAAATTATCTGATAAACTTTACCCAGCAATAAAAGAAAGGGTGGAATCCGCTTGCTACAGCGCCAATTTGCGGTGCACTGCGGGAAAAAAAAGTTACTAACGATTTTGCATGGAAAATTGCGAATGGCCCAAACGATGTTGAAATTTACTTCTGAATGGTATGCCTTATTTATCGAGTGATACACTATGGATGAGTTCTAATTCAGCAAAAAAAGACGTCATGGAATGGACTTTATATGTGTTTTCTGCGCGCCATCCCTCTACAACCGGCAGTAAATTGGCTTCATTTTGATTATGATCCTTGTTAATACGACACAAAAAAATTGCAATACAAAGTCAAGGGGCTAATGGGCTAAGATGATGTCAGGGGAATCCGAATCAAATGAGAAATTGACAGAAGGGAGAAGCAATGAAAAGAAAAGGGCATTTATAATCTTTAGAAAATTAAAAAAAAAAAAAAAAAAAAAAAAAAAAAACTGAGTGTCAGCACCAAAAAAGTGTAAGAGAAAAAAAAAAAGGAAAGGAGATTACCGCGTTTTTTTAACTGCAGAGGGAGAACAGCAACAATAACAACGACAAAAAACTACGCCTAAAATCGCTCATTTAAAAAAAACACAAGAAATAACAACAAAATAACTGGAATAT